TATATGTTGATTCGCTAATTGCATCTTTAGAAACTAGGAAAGGCAATAAAGAACTTATTCTATAGAAAAGGTTTGAGAACATCGGAGATCCCAAATCTCTTAAATCAAGACGTAATTGGTTTTACCATTAGTTAAGCAGATACAAGATGCTATTTCATTCCCATGATGAATGCATGCAAAATAGTCCGGACTGGCATCAGTTATGCCATCCGCGAACAGACTTCACATATTACTTCTCAAACTACTCTAAATTGAATTGCCAATAATACAGAAGCTAACATCAATTTGACTTCATACAAAAATTTTAATCTTGAACTTACAAATAAATTGCATAAATCATCTCTAATAATTTGCTTTGTCTCAGTTTTGTCCCTAATAATCTGGAAGTCTTAATTCCATCCAAGTGTCTGGAATTTGTGTCAATTTCGTCAAGTCTATTCCTAATGTCTTGATTTCATAATTTAAAATACGTATCTGAAATGCTTTTGGTCACATCACCAGCATTTTCCGATCATATGATTCAAACATGACAAAAAGGCCATGTTAAGAAAACTTTCCATTTTCTCTTATAATCTAGTTGACTTTTTTTGTTTTTTTGGGGGGCTGGGGGCGGGGGTGTTTAAATGTAAAAATGGTTCCCAGAAAAACTAAACCCTCAATTCCTTCTTTTGTTCAACTATAGTTCAAGGCCCCTCACGCTTTTGCTAAGCAAATCACGTTTCTAAGCATAACCAAGGGCCATGTCCTCTTCTGACCTAAATTGGCTGATACTGGCCTTGAGTTCTAGAAAGAATCCACCTTAACCTTCTAAAGAGGGGATTATGAAGATATATCAGCACCGAGGGGGAAGTTTAGTTGCTTTGGCACAGGTTTCCTCACAAAAAAAAAAAGGTTAACCAAATTACAGGAAGAATGAAAATCCTATAAAAAATCTCCCTTTTTACATTGATACAGCGAGGCTGTGTATCGGCTAAGACACTCAAAGATGCACATTTGGGAAAATCGGTAGGAGAATAAGGCTAATGATATTCAAAACATCTTTTTCAAATACTAAGAAGACATAAACTAATTCTGAATGTTAAGGATGAAATTTAAATTTTTGTAATATTAGGGTCTAGGGACACAATCAGAACAAATCCCAAAGACCTGGTACAATTTGAAATATTTTCTAATTTATTACTGTCAGAAAATCTAAAGGATCAATCTTTATTCATAGCGACTTAATTTCCATAATGATAAACCTCTCAGTTGAAAAGGGCCAGCATCCTAGTCAGTTAGCAACAGGAAGTTAACTGGCAAGTGGAAGAAAGACACTTCATGTAGAAATGAGAAACATGATGTTCATGGCTAAGTCAATTTCGAGGTCTCTGTGCAATATTCTGCACTTTTATCCCATTAACTCACATCAGTTTCTTCAGATGCTGACTCCCTCTCCCTGCCTTTCTACTGTCATGTTTTTTGGTGTAATAATTACAAATTTGTAACTGCAACTACTCCTCTAATTTTAGTCACATAACCTTGATCACGGCACATACAAGTACTAACTTGTATCCAGTATATGAATTCAAAAACACTCGAGTTAGAATTCTCATGGTGCCATCTCATTCATAGCTATAACAAGCTGTCGCCAAAGAACCAGATAAAAATGAAATTTTCTAGAAGACCACCAGTATAGTGCAATATATACAAAATCAAATATATAGATACAAATCTTCACATGCTATGGAATGCTGAAGGAAGATAAGGTTATAAATGAACTTCTGGTGACATACAGCATATAGAAAATTAATATTATCTCTGCAGTTTACCTTAAAAGTTCAATCAATGCATGCCACTCAAGTGTAACTTAATGTTCAAGAAATAACAATGAAATATAAAGAAAAAGATAGATGTGGACAAGAATAGACAGAGAACATCTACAGAATGCCAGTTCACATCATAATTTAGAAGCAGCAATAATCACAAATCCTAAGGAAAAAAACGTTAGAACAGCTTAAAGAGACCAAATCAAAGTGATGATACATAGGCCAACACGATAGAGATAGATTATAGCAGAATGATAAAGCTTTTACTCAAATGATGGTAATTCTACAACAGTAAGGAGGCAAATGGAGGGGACAAGGAGCTTACTTGATCGGTATCTTGTAATGGGAATTTCTCGTAATTCACGGTTTATGCACAAATATTCACCTAACAATGCCATCACCGCAAGCCCAGTAACATTCACAATCCACCATGTTATTGAGGAAGGCCAACCGCCATAGACAATGCATATAAAAAGATGGACGATGTACAGTGTTGCAGAAAAATCTAGGCACTTCTTTGCCCTCTCAATCAAATAAAATAAAATGCCAACTCTGTTAAGGGGCAACAAGAAAAATTGGAAATTTAATTACGTCGGTTAATCAAATTCTCGAGAAATAATATTTTCCCACATGAGACCACCATGCATAAAGGAAAACCACAAAAGGTTCAAACAAGTAGACAACTTTGGAGCATTTTACCTTATTCCAGAAAGGGGAAAAAAGAGTATACAACACTGGAGGAACAAAGCTAAAATATATAACTCGTTCTTCACTCATTTTTTTTGCTTATTTGGTATTGCATTTGCATTTTGATTTCTTTTCTTCCATAGGATAAGGTCCCTCTTCCCTGTTCCACCAATTTATATTGGACAAATAGAACTGCAGAAGATGTAATACACAAAGAGTGCCAGCAGTAATAATACAAAGCCAAAGTTTATTGTAACCTCCCCAGCAAAAATAGAACTCTAAACAAAGAAGAGGCTGAAAGGATCAGTCCTCTAAAATACAGGTAACATGTCTTTAATCCAACACCTGAAACCCCAATTACTCAAAGATATAACCTTTATCTCACCAATTCCAAACGGAATATTTTCACATAAAAAGGGTGAGAGTTCTAGGGTTTTAAGGCAGAAACAGAATTGTGATATGGCAATTAGTAGGCTTTCAATCACTAATGAAGGCATAACCAAAGATGAAAATATCAACAATGATACTTCAAAAGTTATACTCTTCACTAAGTTAATATAACTGAATTAAGTAACAGTCCTATAAGCAATTAAATCAACAAAAAAGGGAATAAACGAACATGAAAGCTTATGAAGGGTGGGAAATGATTTTTTATAGAAGAGGGTCAGTCTTTTGTTATTAGTTAATTTCTTGGTGCACCATGAAGTTGACTAAGTGCTATTTGTAGAGAACTATATCTTTGTGTAGCCTCCCTATTTTTGCATATCGTTTGTACTTTGCAAATTTTACTTGAACAGTATAGAAAGAATTTCTCACCGCCAACAACAATAACTATGCCTCAATCCAAGCTAGTTGGGGTCGGCGGCATGAACCCTCAATATCATAAATACTCTATTTGGGTCCATAATATTTCAACACTCCATATTTAGGGATAACCTAATACTTCCTCAGTCCCAATTTATGAGATACTCTTTCCTTTTTAGTCAGTTCCAAAAAGAATGACACATTTTATATTAGTAACAATTTAACTTTAACCTTCTTATTTTACCCTCAATGTAATGATTTATAGCCACAACAATTTATATGGCTTTTTTTTTTTTTATAACCGTGGTGTCCAGGCCAGCTTGCGCGCACCTCGACTAATTCCACGGGATACCTGCCGCCTCCCACCAGCAACAGGTAACTCTATCCACCAAGGCTTGGATAGATGGGAAGAAATCACCTAATATTTGCCTCCGCTGGGATTTGAACCTGAGACCTCATGGTTCTCACCCACTTCATTGACCACTAGGCCACACGCCTGGGTGCTTATATGGCTTGTTTAGACTACAAGTTTTAAAAGTCTTTATTCCTTAAACACCCTTCTCAGTCAAAAATCAGCACATAAATTGGGACTGAGGAAGTACTAGAGATCTCTATAAACTCTAGTAGTTATATCTCTAAGAGTCTTCTAGTTGGTATTAACTATACAGATTTTCAACTTCCATTTTCTTCACAAGTTTTCAACTTCCATTGTTTTCTATCTTTTGGTATTATCTGCGTTGATGAAATTTTCTCACCACATTATAAAATTAGTACCTTAATAGAAAAGGGAATAGACGAACAAAATTTAAAAAGATTTTTAACAATAACACAATTTATCAATATGACTAGGTACAATGTCACAAAACTCCAAACCACAAAGCTGCTGACAATGGATTGCAACAGATCATGTGTGAAGACAAAAAGGGCAGCCCGGCACTAAGCTCCCGCTATGCGCCGGGTCCGGGGAAGGGCCGGACCACAAGGGTTTATTGTACGCAACCTTATCCTGCATTTATGCAAGAGGATGTTTTCACGGCTCGAACCCGTGACCTATTGGTTACATGGCAGCAACTTTACCAGTTACGCCAAGGCTCCCCTTCTTATATGCGAAGACAGAAAAGAAAAAAATGAAATCTCACCCTGCAAGTGAACTGAGAAGAAAGGAAGCAATGACGCACCATCCAGTTACAGTTGAAGCAGTTACAGCGGCGTAATCAAAGAAATAGACAAGACTCATTCGAGAAACACGAGTCCCAACAAGAATTGCCAAGAATATCCCTAGTGTCAAATAGTATAGGGATTGAAGACACACAATTTGGGCAACAATTAGCCACGGATCCCACACCACCGCACCATAGAACATGACTGTTGATGAATTCTTCCCCACAAAAACACAACCAACAACTTTCCAATTCCCCCAAAATTCACAAAAGTACTCTTTGATCTGAATCAAAATTCAACCTCAAAAAACACCAAAATACAATCTTTGATTGCTCTTGTTGAGTTCATCCACACAAACAAACAACAAATTTATTCCCTTAAAACCTACCAAAATACTTATTAATTTAAATCAAAATTCAACCTAAAAAACACGCAAAAATACAATCTTTGATGACTGCTGCTGAGTTCTTCCACATAAACAAACAACAAATTTCCCCAATTCCCTCAAAATGTCTTATTAATCTGAATCAAATTCAACCTCAAAAACACAAAAGAAAAAGTATAATTTTTGATGACTGTTGCTGAGTTCTTCTCTCACAAACAAACACTAAACACTTTGGTCTGAATCAAAATTGAACCTAAAACAAATACACCAAAAGTTACAATCTCTGATCTGACTCAAAATTCAAAGCTAATAGTGAAGCATGAATTGCAATAAAGCATACGTTATTATTACGTGAATAAGGAAAGGAGATACGAAACCTTAATTTCGCCTGTAAGAAGAAAAAGCGTCAAAATATAGGTTAAAAATCTGAGCATCTCAGCCACGTGAGAAGAGAATTCGACTGAGATTCAGTGAATATAATTTTATTTTAAAATTACCTAAATATTATTAAATCATTATGAGTTATGGAATAAAAAATTAAACAAATTTTAACTCCTGAAAACCATACCTTTTGATATGTAAAGGAAAAAATCATACACCAAAGAAGTCCTCCAAATTGCCAACAAATCATACAATATTAGAAAAAAAGAATAAAAACTAAGTAATATAACTTGAAATTTGAAGAAATTATTATCAATATGAATTCTAAAGAGAAAGCAACCGTAGAGGTGGGAACTGAAGAGAAATCTTCTGATTCATCAATTGGTGTAGTTTTGAATTGGTATTTGTGTATTTATGCGTGTGTTTTTTATTTGGAATTGTTTACCCGAAAAACGGATAGAGTTAATTTGTACGTATTTATTAGGGGTCGTTTGGTAACCGGTTAGATAAGAGTTATCCATGTATTAAAACTAGGATAACTTTATACATTGTTTGGTTAAAAGAAGGGGGAAAAATAATCTTCACATAGAAGCTAGCATAATTTATACAATGTTTGGTAGTTTTTTCCTTTCTTCCACATAAAATGTAGCATTGCTAATACAATATTTGGTTCATATTTTTCTTTTCCGCATAACTAATACATGCATAAGTTATGAGGGAATCTATGTATTAATTATGCAGGGTAGAAGGTGGAATAACGTATACATGTATTAGTAATACTTGTATTAAAATAAAAAATAACAAGAATACCCTTTATTCAAACTTGTATTTTTTTGTTTAAAAATATACATTTAAACTATACTAATAATTTTAATAAAAATAAAGTAAGCTAATAATAAATAACACTCACATTACATTTATATTACTAATCCTTATATAACTCATGCATAACTAATCCCAACATAACTCAACCTTGCATAACTTTTCTCTGCATAACTAATACATGCATAATTAATCCATGCATTACTTATTCATGCATAATTAATACATACATAACTGATACCTGCATAACTAATACATGTATAACTAATACCTGCATAACTCTAACCGGCAACCAAACGACCCCTAAGGGTATGTGGTATAATTTGACATAAATCGTAAGAGTAAAAATGAAAATATCGAATATTGATGGCAGAGAATAAAAAATAAGCAAAGTTGGAAAGAAGATGATTTATGGATTAATCAAGATGAATCAATCTATGTAGCTAAAAAAGGATAACTCTTCAATATCAGAGTGTATGATCTCTCAGTTACAATGTATGTAGAAACTTGGTCTTTACAGAAATAATAACCATCCACTTTATAGTGAAGGGATCCTACTTCAGATATAATTAAAAATACATAGTGGGAGACCCATGATAAATCAGCTTTTTCATAATTCCTGCCAGGATTCTCTCCTTTAGTGCGGTTGCAACGGCTCTTGTCTATGAGCTCGATATTGACTCGAGCTAGATATCGACTCGAGCTCTCGATCTTGACTCGAGCTCGTTTCTGATTCGGAGCCTTGAATTGATTCGGGGATAATGTTGGTCTCTGCCTCATAAGCTCGATAACTTCTTCATAGTTCGATTTGGATTCGAGCTCGATAATGATATCGAGCCTGACATTGATCGTTCCCTAGGGCTCGAAGCTAGATGACCTGACTTCGAACCTCAACATGATCTTCGATCCAATGCATTACCATTTCGACCAGTTCGTACGAAGCACTAACCAGTTTTGACCGTATACAGATAGTCCCCTCATTTCTTGGGAAGGATGCAGCGAGAAACGACATGATTTTTCACGGTACGATTACATATATACTGACATTTGCATCGAGCCCGATCATGACGTGCATGATAGCTGTCCCGTCGGTTCAGTTTACCGAGACATTTAATGCATGTCAGACGATGGTCGGCCATTATTGAAATTGAACCGCCATTGCTTTACCTATAAATAACCCATTTTTTCACTTTTAACCACTTTTACATCTCCAAACCCTAAATTTTCTAACTTCTTTCTCGCACCTTCTGAATTCATCTCTAAGTGTGTAAAATTTTCCTTCCACATTTTCTACTGCAAAATCTCTCTTCAAAAACATCATATCTTTGTTATCTCCTTCTTTAAATCCAGAGATGGTGAAAACGTCAAAAAACGTCCCCCAAAAAGAAAAAGATTCTTCTTCCCAACCTGTCGCCAACAAAACACCAGTGGATCCACGGCCTGAGGAGTGCGTTCCTGTGGCATGTGTTCTTACCTCCGATTTTAAGGTCGATAAAGGCTCATCGATTCCGGGCCGATGTGAGCCAGTATCGAGGTATATGTGTTCCATAACCGGGGGGTATCTCGAACAGATAAGAAAAAAATGTAACTGGGAGAACAAAGAAGTGGTAGTCCCGTCTCCCGAAGAGGATATTACTACTCATGTGAAAGGGTTTTTAAGTGTGTACACTTACCATTTCACGTTAGGCCCCCTCAACCTTGTTATCATTGATTTTTGCCGTAAATACCAAATAACCTTAGGCCAAATCCATCCTTCTTTTTGGCAGATCGTTATTCTGATCCGTTTCTTTGTGAACAAAATCGAGGAGATGCCTTTCATCCTCGACCACCTCATTAGATTGTACTGCCTCTGCCTCTTTCGAGATGGGTTAATAAAACTACAGTGCCGGGTTAATAAAACTACAGTGTCGGGCTACCAAGGTTCTGTTCTTAAGCATAGATGAGGACAAGGATCGAGGCTGGATGGGAAGGTTCGTTCGAGTGAAGACGTCGGACCTAATACCGGCCGAGAAGATGCCATTTTCCGAAGAATGGAACATGAAGTGTAAGTGTAACTCTGTTGTTATCTCCCATTGTTTTGCCCATTCGTTTCCTTTCTTACTGATATCCCCTTTATGGTGCAGTGGTTCTTTGGATTCCCGGTGCGGTTCCCGACCTCAAGGACTGGGTACGGGCCCTGGCTTCGACTTCTACGTACGCCGAGCTCATGGCGTGATTTGTCAAAGGGCCGATGGGAGGCCAAAAATTACGGTAATCTCCTTTCTTGCACCATTGATAGTTCAAACTATTTTCCGTACACTCAAATCAATTTTCTTGCGTGTAGGTCTGGGAAAGGATGCGGTTTTGAGACCCCTGTCTGGCGAGGAGGAAACTTCAGCCCCGGTTTCTAAACCGGCGAAAGACAAAAAGAAAAAAGGGCCTCTACTTCCGAAAACCCAAAACTGAAGGCTCATAAGTCGAGGAAGAATACCATCCCTTTAATATTAGAATTAGTTTGGCGTCTGAGGGATTAAGACGAGGAAGAAAAAAAAGACGACGGGTCCGTACTGGTGGCCCGAGTGAAGAAAACCATTGATGCCCCACAGGCAGCTGGAACGATGGTGGTTTACAAGGCTCCGCCTCGAACTGAGGGTATATCGGAGAAAGATTCGAAAAAAGTCCCCGAGCCGTTGGAGATCGAGGATATCTCCCATAGAAGTCAACGGATGGTGGATATGTTTGAAGGGACCGTCCCTAAATCTCTTCGAACCGAAGAGAATGCCCCAAGCAACTCACTTAGGGCAATAGTAATCGAAGACTTGCCCATTTTTCCTACTTTTTCCGAAGGGGCGATTCGGGAAACCCAATCTTTGGGGGCCCTCGAGGTAGATGGATCTCATGAGGGAGAGGACCCTTTTCGTGATTTGTTTACTGGTGTTGAGGACGTTGTCGGCACTAGTGATGCATCAGATCTTTTCCTCGGAGTGCAGCAAGCTTTGAATCGGGTAAGCCTTAACTTACTTCGTTGGTATTGCCTTTATGATTGTTTTTCTTTTCTAACTTCATTTCTTATTTCTTTGCAGGCCGCAACAGTTCATCGAGAAGCATGTTCTCGATCTCGAACCGAGTTGTGTCGATATGAGGCCGACCTTCAACGGGTCACGGATGAGAGAAAAGTCCTTAAACTCCTCTCAGGGCAAAGGGGAGAGGAAATCAAAGACCTCCGAGCTGATTTGGCCAAGGCTCACCAAGATCAGACCGATCTGTCTGGGCAGGTAAAGATACTATTAAAAGCCTATGGGTTCGATACCGGAACGGTGGCTAATTTTTCGGTCTCACAACTGCAGCAGAAATTTGAGATGATTGGGAAACTCCGAGAGGAGGTCGATGTGATAAAAGTGGAGTCCTTGAAATGGAAAGAAGGTATGGGTCGCTTTGCTGCAGAGAAAGAGGCTGCTCGAGCCCGATTATCATCGGCCGAAAACCAACTTCAAAGTATGAAGGAGAAAAGCTCGGTTCAAGCAAGAAGAATAGAGGAGCTCGAAGCTCGGTTAGCCTCTGAACTTGCCAAGGCCGAATCTGACGCAGAATAGGCAAAGGCCGATGTGGATGCATTCGTGGCCGTCTATCGGGCCGATGCGGATGCATTCGTGGCTGTCTATCGGGCCAATGCTGAAGCTTCTTAGGTACAAGCAAGAGAGGTAGCTGAGACCGCCAACACTCGAGCACATTGGGTTGTTGAACTTGCTAAGTGTCGATATCGAAGAGAGACCCTAGAGGAGATCCATGCTCGAGGTTTCGATCTCACTGAAGAGATAAAGAGGACTAAAGAGCTCGAAGCCGATGCTGAAGCCTTGGCTTCCAATGATGATGATGATGATGATGACGATGATGGGAGCAAGAGTAGGGAGGAGCCCGATGGAGAAGAGGCCGCCCTCAGAGATAACCAAGAAACTTAGCCATTAGTTTCCATTTCGGACATTGTAAACAATCCTGTATGTATATATATATAAATATATTTTCTTTTCCCGACTTGCCTCTATTTTATTTTCTGCCTTGTGAAGATTTTGTTTCATTCATGCCTTATGAAGGTTTTCATAAGGCTTTAGGCAATTTGATCGAATTTGGACCTTGTAGCCTTTATAATCGAGTGAGTGCTTGCTCAAACTTGAAATAAGGTAGCATATAGGCTTAGTAGTCGGGTGAGTGATTGCTTGAACTCGAAACGATGTAGCCTGTAAGCTTATTGGTCGAGTGAGTGATTGCTCGAACTCGAAATGATATAGCTCGTAGGCTTATTAGTCGAGTGAGTGATTCGAACTCGAAGTAATGTAGCTCGTAGGCTTATTAGTCGAGTGAGTGATTCGAACTCGAAGTAATGTAGCTCGTAGGCTTAATTATCGAGTGAGTGCTTGCTAGAACTCAAAATAAGAGTAGCCCGTTGGCTTAGTAGTCGAGTGAGTGATTGCTCGAACTCGAAATAAAAGTAGCATGTAGGTTTAGTAGTCGAGTGAGTGATTCGAACTCGAATTAATATAGCCTGTAGGCTTTAATGGTCGAGTG